AAAAAGTTTATTTTATACGATATTATTATTATTATTATTTATACTATTATTTCCTATCAATACCCACACACACACACACAACACATAACCCTTTATATATATAATTTTTTTTCTTTGAGTCTCAACATTTACGAGATAGTAATAAATTTTTATTATTTATAATTTTGACTTATTTGACACAAATTATATTAGTCATATTGTTTATATATATATATATATATATATATAAAAGTTTAAATACTATCAAAAAAAAAATATCTTATATTAATTAAACAGTATTAAACATTAAACATTATATTATTTTAGTTAAGTTTAGGTTAGGTTAGGTCGCGCGACAATAAATATTTACCGTTAAATATATAGAAATATTAATCGCGTGCCAACAAGTGGCAGCTATACTATACAATACCCCAAAACAAACAAAACAAAATAATATTTAGCAAATAAAATACCCCGGTATTTTGTTTGCTAAATATTTATTTTGCTATTTAAAAAAAACGTTTTATATTACAACTAAATTTCTATCTTTTTAAAAAAAAATAATAATTATATTTTTTTTTGTTAAAGTCAAACAAATGTTAAATATCAATTATATTATTTTATTATAAAAAAACATAATTTCGTATAATAATAAAATTTAATCTGTTTATAATAAGTTTTCATAATTATTACTTTTTTAAAAAGCAATTTATTTTTAGTTATTAAACTAAAAATAGATAAATTTATTATTTTTTTATTAATAATTTCAAATCTCTCTCTCTCTCTCTCTCTCTCTCTCTCTCCATAATAATAATAATTTTCGTAGACTTTAGGCAAAATTGTTGCTAATATTTATTATATATATATACTAATTATAAGTTTTATTTAAAGTCTAGGATTTTATTTTGTATACATTTATAATGGTTATGTTAACCACACACACAATAATCTATATATTATTATTATTATTATTATTATATATATTATTTGTATGTTTTTATGAATAAAATGCTAACATTTATCTAATAATTATTACTATTTTTTCAACTAAAAATATTTAATTAACTGTTAACCATAAAAATATGATATCACTTATATTATATATTTAAAAATTTTGTTGAAATTATAATTTATAATTTATTATTATTATTATTATCATTAAGTTCATCATGACAAATTAAATAAATTAGATCAAATCAATCATAATTTTTATACACAAATTATAATAATAATAATGATAATACTAATAATAATATAGAGTATAGTATTTAGTAAAAATTTAAATGAATTATTTTGTTATTGTTTTAATAAAATAATTTTTAAGAGAAATATTTATATTTTGTTTGTTGAAAACAATTTTTGATATGATTTATATCTTTTTGATTAATTAGTGTATAATTTCAAACCCCAATTGAAATATATATTTATATATATTCAAATTAGTAGTTAGTGTTTATAATTAAAAATTTGTGTATAACTTATACTGTAGTATAGAGTATTATATATATATTGAATTTAATATTAGAGATAAAAACAAATAAGAAATAAACAATAACTTCATATTTGTTATACATTTAATATTTTAGTTTTTATTTATAATTTTTTTTGATCTAAATTTAATGAAAACGGATTATATTTATTTGATATATATATATATATATGTAGTATATATAAGACATAGTAAAGATATTTATATTGTTTTGTTTTTTAAAAGTTTACAATTGTATTATGACTACTGTATAGTATATACACAAAATATTTAGTAATAATAATAATAATAATAATAATAATAATAAGATAAAACTAAATATCAATAATAGATTAGATTTTTAACTTTATATATATATATATAAATTAAATGAAATAAAAACACTTACACACATGTGATGTGTTTTATTTTAATTAAAACCCCTGAAAAATAAATAAAAATAAAACATTAGTAGAAAACAGTTTTGTGTTGAAAATAATCAATAATGTAATATACAATATATGAAAAAAGTTAGTCTTAAAAAAATAAATAAAAAAATATTCTCAATGTTAAATATCATAAATAATTTCTATGTTTTAAGTGGATTTAATTTATACTCATATACTGTATATACATATATTGTATATCTATATAAATATATATATATAAAGCATGTTTAAAGTTAATTTTGTGTTTCAAATAGAGATTTTCGTGTTTTTTAAATTACATCAAAAGATATATCATTATAATTTAGATTTTTATATATAATATATATAAAAATGTATAATAATTATATTATTTATCATTTGAAAAAAAAGTCTTTATAAGATTTTAATGTTTTTACTGTTTTTTATTGTTAGTTAGTTTTTTTTTTTGGTTGTTTGTTAGATATAGTATAGAGAATTCACATTAATTAATGTATTGTTGAAATACATTTATATATATAATTTATATTTTAATTTAAATTATTTAATTAAATAATAAAATTTTCTATTTAAATTTAATTATTTGTATTGTCTAAAAATAAATAGTATATAATAAAATTAATATTCACAAAATGTAATGTTATAAATTAAATTTATATATAAGGTTAAATTAGTTTACAGTATAAGTGTAATTAAATTTTTCAAATAGTTGAAAATAAAAATTAATTTCAATTTTTTATTGTCTAAACAAGTTATGTAAACATTACCTATATTAGGATATAAATTATATAAATATATATTTGAATAAAAAAATATAAATTATAATTTATATTTTATTAAGTGTCACATTGAATTATTATTGTTTCATATATTAAAGTTAATTTTTTTCAAAATTTAATTGTTTATATTTAATTTAATTACAATATCTGCCAAATTAAATAATATTTTTTTTAAAAACATATTGTTAGCTATAGTTTTATTTATTTTTTTAGTTATTTAACAAATTTTTTTTTAAAAAAGTATACAATAAAGAGAAAAAAATTTTTGGACATAAATTAATTGATTAGTTTAAATAAAATTAATTTTTAGTTTTCTTAGTAAAAAATCACATACAATTAAAACTTAAAAATTAATTAATCAAAAATACTATTTTCTAAATTTTTGTAAAATTAGTTAAATTTGTTGTTACTGTTGTTGTTTAAACTAACTATTTAAAAATAACAATATATATACTAGTATATATATAAAACTATAATTTTCAATCTAATTAATCAACATTGTCTAATTAAAAGCAAACATATGTACATATAATATATTATGTTATGTTATTTAATAGATATAAATTACATTATATATATATAAATTACTAAAAACAAATACTTTATAACATAATTAATTTTTAATTTAATTTATAAAAATACAATACATCAACAAACAAACAAAAAAATTTACACAAATATTTACACAACTATTTTTTAAAAATTTTATTAATAATAATAATAATAAATTTTACCATAAAATATTTAATACATTATAGAAATTTACTATTTTTTTCTGTATTGAAAACTATGTATTGAATTGTTGTAGACTATTGAATATATTATTGTAATCTTACTATATATATATATATATATATAATATTATCTCTAATAAAAAAAATAAAATAAATTAAATTAATGCTAATGTGGTAAGTGATAGGAGTGTCCCTAAAATTAAATAAATATATACCACTAATCAATACTTCGTATAGATTGGTATAAATATCGCCCGGAGCTCTATACGGGTATATACAGTATATACCCTATTATAGCCTATTAATGTATA